GGACTTGGTTCTATGGTAGGTCTTAAAGGGTTAAACCACGTCTCGCCTCAGTGTTTCATTAGAACAGCAGAAAATAAAAAGAAAACCTCCTCATAGTATTGATCATATGTTATGTTTTAAATGTGTTTGTTCTCAGTCCTACCTTCAAACTGTGCCTCTGCCATATCTGAAGAGCATCGAGGATGGCTACAAGAAGACGTTTCTCCCCAAAATCAGGTCAGATTGTTACAGATGCTGTTAGATATCTGACCAGAGTCTTTATATAAGGATGCACAATGGCTTCAAGGTTAACTGCATAGTGCAGAGTGTTTCTTTGACAGGCGTAGTCTTCTGACTAAAACATCATTTAGACACTAAATTCTGTCGTGTTGGTTGAATAATTACCTTAAAAGCACTTTTCCTTTCAGTGAGACGTCAGAGCTGCTGGCTTATGATGCGACCCAGGCTCAAGATGTTGAAAGGGTAAGATTAAACTGCAGCTCTTCACCTGCAAACAAACACAGTGGCTGACGCCTCGCACGCTGTCCACAGGTGGCAGAAGATATCGAATATTTGAAGTTTGAAAAGGGGCCGTGGGTGGAGCAGGATGACGTCAGCTACCACCACATGAGGATGCTGTGAGTTTTAGGATGTATCTTACACACCGTTTCGACGGGAATGCAAACGTGAGCTTTTTACCCTTTTCTGCATTTCACAGTGTGGAAGATAAACAGAGGGTGGCAACCCTGACACACATACCCAGGTTCCTGCCAGAGATAACCATCGGAGCACACGACTACGATCAAAAATACTACGCCTATAAGTCGGTATGTACGCATGTCACGTTAGCTGCGGGGAACCGCACTGAGCTGGAGCTTTGACATCTGTAGAGAGATCACTGAGATCAGAGTCATCAAAGATCAGTAGATGCAGCCGTGGCCTCAGTGTGAGTCCCCTACGTCTCCTCGTTCTCCATCCGTCCGACAGCATCTTTAGTCTCCGTGTGCTGGGCGGCGTCTGACCTGACCTCGTTGTCGAGCACTTTATCACAGCTTGTGTAACCACATCGAGGCTGCTGTATAAATCCTCCTTGTTCATACCGAACTCGCTAAGCTCTCAGTGCGGCGCTGTCGACACGATGCAGCTCATTTCCTTCTGCTGACTTATCGACCCGCTCGTAGTTACTCGATGGCAAATGCCAGATGTGGAATATTCTACGAGGTTGTTTGTATCATCGGTCTTGTGGGGAAACGTTTGGGTCTGACCTTTTCTCTTTATTGACTGGTGACGTATTCGCCTCCCACTGCTGCAGGAATCGGGCTAACGCTGCAGCGCGCTGTAGCCTGACATTTTGTTGTGAGCTCAGATCTTAGAGCAGAGAATGAGGAGGGGGACACATACTGGAATAATCTCCGGTTTACAAACGAAGCCTCGGAAGGGCATTTGGATCCTGGCTGAATATGACGTTAAATGCACTCCTCTTTGTTCTTGTAGATCCCTGGGAAGAAGTACGCCCGTGGATATAACGCTGATGTTGGAGATAAATACATCTGGCTGAAGTGAACTTTCCACTCTCATCATCGAATCAGCCCACTGAACTCACTGTCTTCTCATGTACATCCCAAAATATGTATTAAAATAGATTCTGACTGAGTGTCCTGTCTCTGAAGGTGTTTGCTTCAATATTTCCTCCTCTGTGTTTTACCCAGCAGCTCTTTATATTCATGCTGCTGTTCAGTGGCGTGAGCAGCAGGAGGCGCTTGTGAGCCCTCAATAAACAACAGTTAATGGAGTGTAGGTACTGAATTATTCACTGGCACAGGCTAACATTAAAGAAACAGTTTCAGCGTCCAGACTGAGGAGGACGGCGTTCCTGCCTCTGAGTCTGGGGCGATGGCAAGTGAGCAGAAAACTGAACAATGAAACTGTTTTCATTACAAAATGATGAAGAAACTGTATTTTTGAGACTATTTCCTTTTTTAAAAATTCAAAAACTGTTCATCAAAACAAACATAAAACATACCTCCCACAAAATGAGCCGTCTCAGGCTGCTTCCCCTCTCCAGTGACCTCTCCCACGCCCCCAGTACATGTACTGGGTTTGCTTTACTGTGTAAATGTTGCAGTCTTAGTCAAAGGTGGTTTAATGTCTATAATCCAGCACCTTTAAGAATAGTTTTCTTAATTTGATAAAGTCAAAAAGCTCCTGGGTAAATTGTAACAATACAATCTGTTACAGATTTAAGAAAGAAATGTTACAATATGTACACATTACTCAATAAATATCAAGGATTGACAAGAATTACAGAGTAAAAGAGAGTAATCTCAGTCTCTCACTGAGCGTGCTCCTGTGACTGCCAGCACGCCATGGAGTGGGTGTGAGGTGTTATCCTACATGGTCTTTATCTTGCACAACATCCGCCTCTCAGACACCACCTGAGGGAGAGTTAAGTTGTTCTGCTTGCGTGTCAGGATCTCTCCATCATCAGAGTTTCATTGCTGACGTGCTCAATGAGTTATTGAAGGTTTCTGCCATCACACATGCTGTCGAGGTGGTTAGTAACAGGCCAACTTGTGCAGCACGCTGACTGTAGCCTGCACCGCAACAACGTGACGTTCTCCAAACTCGTCTGGCGCCCCCTGGTGTCTGGCTGCAGTATAGTCCCCCTGACATGAAAGCTGATGGGATCTGGTCGAACTAATAACCTCATATTTTCTTATCAAGTTGATTTGAGTTGAAGGAAACATCTTCACATGTGTCGTATGGATTTTAATTCCTATCTTAAAATTGAGGCGTATGCAGTCCTTGGTCAACACGCTATCTCCATCAGCTCGACAGGCTGAACACTTACTGGTGTCTATTTTTAGATTTCACTAGACGAACACTGCTTGGCTTTGTTCCCTTAATGTCTTAATGCTAAAAAACTCAATTGTTGTTTACGTCTATTTTTTAACATAAAGTCTACATTTGGTTTTTGTCTCTACAGTAGTGCATTTTTAAAACTCGACCAAATGGGGTTAAAAAAGTTTTCCTTAGACTAAAAGTCTGCAGATGAAATGTGTCGTCTCAAACCCATCTATCAAAAACATGATGACTTAGTGTTTACGTACCATAAGAAGCTTTTGAGCTTGGCTGATTGAAGGGAAGCAGAGCTCCAACAGGACAAAGAATACACAGTTCCTATAAGGAGGAAATCAAACGGTGTGTTAATGATGTTGGTTGTTCCCAGTAAGCTGTGTATGAAATTGTCAGTAAGCACAAACAAAATGTGGAGGTTGTAAAGAGAAAACATCTAAGCGGGAGATGTCAGAGAGCCAGGACAGAATACTGAACGCAGATTGTCTTGACAATAAAATTTACAGCAAACTGCAGGAGCTGCTGGAAGCAGCTTGATGGAGAGTCACTGGTTTCATGACTCAAATAACTGAGCCCAGTTCAATTCAATTTTATTTATATAGCGCCAAATCACAA